GGCTATTGGCAATCTGAAATCTCTTGGCACCACTTCACAAGATAGAAGATGTTTTATAATTACTGCTAAACAATGATACTATACTACCAGCCTTTTCTTATAGTTGTCACCACAAATATGAATTTACATTTAGATTTGAGTTATCTTCAATTTGTGTGTTCAGTTTTCAAATATCTTAAAGCCAAAAGTATAGGAAATAATGGAGACAAGCAAATAGTAAATGTCAGAATGGTTTGACTACTATGTGTTGGTTTTTTTTTCCAATTCCTTTCCACAAGTTTGTTTAGCATTTAATTCACATTTGGCTACCTCTATCCAGTATTAGCCAATGCCTCCCTACTGTTAGTCATATCACTTAAATAGTGGCTGCTTCTCTAATATAGATAATTGTTGTTCTTTCCGGAAGAATCTTAGTTAAACTTTTCATATTTATTTTCTTAGGATTTTGTGAAAAGTGAGAACAAGAAAAATTCAAAACCTGCTATGACTAATTCACCTTCTACAAACAACAAGAAAATGGTTTGGCTTTATCCTGTTTTTGAAGTTAGTTTGGTCTTTTCTGTGGAGGTGGACTTGTGAAAGGAGCAAACATTCTTACACAGCAGTATCTTGAACAGGATTCTTAAATACTTAACATTGTCTTCCTACAAAAGTCAGTGTAACTGAAGAGAGTAACTCTGTATCTGACAAGAATGTGTAATAGCTGCAGCGTACTATGATTCAAAGGGAAGGGTGTTGCATATTGAATAGTTAGGAAGACTAGTTTGAACATACTATTGGTATATGTGATGTTGTAGGCAATGCCTTTGATGTAAAACTAAGGTTCACGTTATCTCTATGCATGACAATTATAAAAAGGTGATTTTAGGCCTTAGTAGTAACCTGGGCAGGTTCAGAGGTGGGTAGTAGATCTATTTTCCCCATCAGTTTCCTCCTGTTTTATTTATAACTAGAACAACTTGTCTAATAAAATACAACTTTGAATTTACTTTTTTAAAGAAACTACTGGTTTCCTACATTACTCATACCCTTAACTGTATTCCATGAAACTTTGACAGTGTTTTTTTTTGTTCTCTGTATAAAATGAGATTGTCTACTTTACTTGCTGTGGTGCTATCATTAGTATAATGAACAGAGATGTCAGTAGCAAAGCTCAAAGTGTCAGAAAATAACATTGAAGTCAAATAAAATGTAATTAAGCTTGAAGATAAGTCAGTTTTCAACTTAAACGATGATATTGTATTTCTGTACAGATGTCTACTACGCAGTCATTTAGAAAAGAATATCCCTTAAGAAAGCAAGAATCTACATCAAGTAAAAAATCAGCTAAGAAGAAAGATGGAACACTGCAAAAAATTGGAGATTTCCTTCAAAGTTCTCCTACTGTTATTCACTCTAAAGGTTTGTACAGAATAAATAAGGCTTATTCCATGTTGTCTGGGCATTATAGAATGTTTTTTCCTACTATCTTAAACTGTTAATGTATATGTTGTTAAAGGATGCATCTGCTGCGTTAAGTTCTTTTGTTTATGAAATAACAGTCTAAACTGAAGCCTGCTATATTGAATCTTGCAGAGTAGAAAAGGCTGTCTTGCAAGGACCACACGGTTCTAAAGTTTAGGTTAAGTGTGAAAGGTAAACCAGGTGAAATGAAAGGACGCAGTGTGTGTGTAAGATGTTCATATATATTTACCATAAAAGCAATGATAACTGTTAAACTCTGAGTTACTTTGTTCTTGCTTACAGTCAAACAGTTAAAAGCAATTTCAGAAACTTGCCCTACTGTTCTAAAGAAGTCAAGAGCTGAATCCGAACTCCAAATCATGCCGTGTTCTATAAGCAATCCCTCTTCCCCTTCCCTCCCGCTTTGTTTCTGCGGAAACTGTATTAATGATTTTTGATATACATATGTGGGAGAGGAAGACTAGTTCTACAGCATCTGAAAGCCAGTGTCTCACGAAAATGTTTGGAAGACTTGAATAAACTGACTATGAAGCATTTAGTGGACTTTGTTAAGGTTAAGCATAGCCTTGGGAAGATTAACTGCCAGGAATTTCCGTTGAAGGCTGTATTTTTATTCTTTCCCACAGTAAGACGTGATCTGAGTTCCTGTGTTTTTACAAAAAAAGCTTAAAATTAGTGAAGGGCACAAGGAACTGCCACTCTTAAATTCTAAAAGACACTATTTGGTTAAAACAAGGTCTGTCATTAGTCACTGTAGACAGTTAAAATTAAGATCTCTGTACCAACTTGAAAACTCAACTTGCTACAGAGTATATCTTACTTGTCTGCTCTAAGGCAGTCTAGATGATAATAGTGGGATTTTTAAAATTTTCCAGGTTTGTCAGATTGGTTCCATGAGGAAAACTTATCATTAGCAATGGAAAACAAATTCAGACTACTCAGAATTTCGCCCTGAGAAAACTTAATTTGAGCAAATGAGTTCTAGCTTGTAACCTCTATTATAATGTCCTTTATTTTTTCCATTTTTGCATAACTCTGTATTGTTGGGATTTCTTCTTTCCTTCTAGCTCATAATATGTATACACTCTTCTCTTTATAGAACTCGTACTAGTTTGATACAACTGTACAAGTATATAGAGAAAATTCTCTGCCATGTGCTTCTGTCAGCACAAAGAAGTTAAGCCTGTTGTTCAACTCCTGTTGAAGTGTTTAACTTCTAGTGGAATCTGAATCCTAATTGATTTTTAATGTGCTATTTAAATGTGTCCTTCAAGCTTTTGTATCTAAAGCTATAGAAAAATGTGGTAGTCAAATACCACTTCTGAATTTTTGTATTTAAACTTCAGACTACTTCTGTTTCATTTTTAAACTGCTTTTAATAAAGTTTGCTTTATTCATTAATTTTGAGGCTCACGAGACCAGTGAGACATGGATTTCTGATAAAGTTTTTCTTCTAGCAAAGAAGCTGATTGCAACAATAAGCTCTCCGATGTCTGCAGAACCAGAAAAAGTCAAAGAAAAGGAGCTCAAGCCAAAACGAGCTAAGAGAAAGCTGTATTCAACTGACATTTCTTGTCCTCTAGATATCTCTGCTTCTTCGGTAAGTGATTAGAGGTTACTGTTCTGTCCACTGTAGTGTATTTCCGTCATGTTGGCTTAAAATAAACTGTTAGGGGGACAGAACAAACCTGAAAGATCTGAACAAGTTGCAAAAGTTGCTTGAAAGTACTGACATTTCTTGATTCCACATAACCATTTCTTTTTGTCCATTCTTCCTGGTGTACTGCTTAACTTTCTCCATTTTCTCACCAATCTTTTCTGTGTTTAACTGCTGACACTGTATAGGTGATAGAGCAATCACAGAGATATCTTTGAATTTGGATTCATAGATGTCTTAGTTGTGATGTGACGAGTCTTACTTTTTGCTCTACTACAGCACTTGGGTAGCATAAAGGGAGAAGAGAAATAGAGGCCACTATGGGATCCGTAGATTTGGAACGGTGTGAATGAAACAGTAAAGGTAAAGGTCTGCATGTACAATTAACTTTTCAGGGCAAATGAGCACCTAAGGTAATTTCTGATTCCACTTGTGCCCAGCTGGTATTTGGGTTACTTTAGGATGTGGATACATCCATGCTTTTCCAAAGCACAGCTTGGCCTTCTTGGTGTGCTTAAATTGTGTTGCCCTGTCTAAGCCAGCCTGTAAAGCATCTTATAGGCCAGAGCTTGATGTATTGTTCCTGAAATCCAACTCTCTGGTTTTGGCAGTAACTATAGTGATAAACTTACTCTTGGTCTCTTGGAAGTATATCTCCTCATTTTGTGCAGTCCTTTCTTCCCTTCACTATGGTGAGTGCTTTGCCCATACTGAGACATTGTATTGCATTTTCTGTGAATTGTTTGAATGGATGTAACTGAAGCCAAAATGCTGTCCATAGGAGGATGAAGCAAATGACAAACGCAGAGACAGAAACGCAGAGCAAAAGAAGCTTGGAAGTGAAAAGCGAAAGACTGAATCCTGGGAAAGTCAGAGAAAGATAAAGGAATTTAAGCTAAAAAATGTTTTCTGAACGCTTCCTGTTTGACAAAATGAGTATGGGAGATTAGCAGTGAGAGCTGCTTTCAGATCACATTTTTCTTTGGACTTTGGTATTTGTTCCAGCAAAGGTGAAATTCTGTACATTCCCAGTGTTTGTTGCTTACAGTGATGCACTGAAATGGACTCTGTCCTGGAGACCTCTGACTAAAAGATAATAGACAAATTTCATTCTGAAAACAGCTTCTGGGAAAAACAGTGTTGTTGGTTACATAGGTCTAGAAGTGCATGTCATTTGTCTCTAAGGAATGCTGAGTAACTCTTGAAATATCTTTTTCAGATTTTTACAGAACAAAAAGAGAAGGAAAGCCATCATCTAATCATCAAGAGACGGCTACGATCGAAACAAGCTAAATAATCTTGCAAAACCATGTTTGTATTTCCTGGGTAGGGCATATTTCCATTTTATTGTTTCAGCTGATTGTATATAGGAAGTAATAGATACTTAGTCATGCTCTGAAGTTTGTATATAGATGTATGTAATTGTTCTGATGGTTTCCAGTTCTGACTCCATTAAAGCTGAAATACTGTTCAAGAAAACTTGTCTGAACCTTATTTCTTTTTTTTGGGAATGGTGTCTGTGGAAGTGTTTGTATTGTAATTTACCCACTGTGCTTTTTTCAGGTGGCCACTGTACTTACCACAACTTTGAGTGGAAAAAAATGAGTACACATGAAAACTTGTATATCCTCAAATTCTCTAAAGAGATTAAAAAAAAGTTCTGTGAAGGGACAAAATGAAGGAATTGGCAGTATGTGGAGAAATGTTTTTCATCATTTCTGTCATTTTAACTGTCTTCTATTTACTCTTCTAAATTAAGTAACTTGTAAGCATAATATTCTTTAATATTCTTTCTGTGGGAAAGCTGTTAATAATATTCATAATATCCATAAATAATTCTAATCTGTTATTAGAAGTGGCCTACTCTCTGATAGACATTTGACACTTTAACCATCCAGTTCTGCTCAACTAGAACAGCTACTTTTTATATAGTAAGGTTTCAGCTTACAATCAGTGACTGAGTAAACATTTAAAACACTTGGTTTCATCAATGTAGCATTAAGTTGCAGGCAGTGACTGTATTTCATAGGATTTTGCATTGTTTGAAGAACAGTCATCTTTCAGAAAAAGATGAAGTTACTTTGACAATGACCTGGTTTTGACATGGATGAAGCAAGACAATCCCAGTAAGTGATCACTTACTCAACTTCTTGCTCATGCATCTTTCTTATTTTACTTTTCTTGAATTACTGCCAACTGTACAATGTTGTTCTTACTTGGACTATTGGATTATTTTGATTATTACTGCATTGTGGTCTGTTTCACCCACCATATCTATGATTCTATAATATCTTTCTGTTTAAAGAGTTCCTTATCAATCTGGTTTGCACATACATAGCGTTTAGCACCATAGAAAGAGTATTGTGTTTAGAAGATTGCCTTTTGAGGTTTGGTATTGGCCTGACCACAAAAACTTTTCAGAAGTTCTCTGTCAGCATCCAGTCTGGGATATTTTTTCTCTTCCTCTAAGCCACAGTGGTTCATCAGCAACATCTGGCTGGTCTGTAGAGGCAGAGGCAGCTTACTCATACAGCTGAATAAGTGCTGCTCGTTTGTGATAGTACAGCTGTAACCTTACTGTCCTTCAGAAATGATTCCATGGTTTAACAGTTATAGGGGTGTGTGGGTGTGTCTGCTTTCTTGGACTGCTGCTCTGCATTGTCTTTTGTTTGACTGAAGTAAAAAGAAATCACAAACGACATTAAAATTGTTTTTCTTGGAGGGAAAAAAAAATTAAATGCCTGTTGCGGTTTAGCTTTATCAAATGCCATACCTTTAAAATGCAAAGCAATGTAGAAATGGTTATTAGTAATTTCTTTAGAAGTAGTTTTTCTTTTTTCCTTACGTGACTATAGCTTAAATGTGGACAACAATGCTGTGAATCATTTAGTGGCAACACACTGATATGATTTTCTCCTGTTCTCCAGCAGATTGTCTGGTCATGGAATGTCTCTTCATAAGGATAATGCATAGTTCAGCTCTGATAATTCTGACTTGTAAGATCAGATTCTTATACCAAGTTGCTTTGCTAGTTTCCCGAATGTAAAATGGAGTTATACAACCATACTCTTCCTTATCATCTTAAGATGGATTGATGTTTTGTTTTTCCTAACTAGAAAGTGGCAAAGTGAACTCATTCAGCTCTTCCATTGCTTCAACTTTTTGTTTTCGTCTTCTGTCTGTGTGAAGAGAACTTGTTTCCTTTTCATTAGCTCATACTTGGTATTGCCGTCTTCTTTCTTCACT